ATGACACTGTCTTCATGACGTCCGACGCCGCAGATGTGATCCAGCGTGCAGAGCTTTTTTCCTTTTTACCTGCTGTACAAACAATAGTTTTTCCCCCAACCTTAGCAGCCTTGCCAGGGCGTGCCACGCTTTCACCACAGGCAATCGTTCTCCTGTATGGATCAGAGAACCACCTAGCAACTGAATCATCCAGACGATGGTACTTCTGGCATTCCAACTCTTAGCTGGATATCTGGAGAGCTGAAAGCGTCGAATTCTTCTTAGTTATGGAGATTATGGACCTCCGCTGTACTTTGTAGTCCGACCCAGAGTCACCCTTGTGCCACGATGAGGAGGTAGACCATCACGAGGAACAAATACGTTGCAACAAAGGTGAGACAAAACAGAACGAGAAAGTTACAATTACATACAGGGAAACGATACAAACGTTGATCATTAATAGTGATAAAACTCGAACTAATAAAACTAGCATAAAAATTAGCAAACACCTAAGTTTTTGTTCTAAGCACGACTATTCTTATCTTTTCTATCCTTTTTCTGGCAATTAAGGAAAAAGCAAGAAAGGTGAAAATTTTGCAATGAAAGCCGGTTCAAACAATTATTGCTACAGTGACAATATGATGGAGCGCATTGGTTTTTCATTAAAACTTAGATTATTGAAGCAGATTATTGAGCTTTAGGGTTGTTGAGCTTAAGCGTGTAGCGGCCCGACTGTATATCTGCGTAAATCTAACCACTTTGAGCCACGTATGAGCGTTAAGAAATACAGAGATCCCAATATATACCAATACACATACAGCAGTCCCTCCACAGAAAAATACCATTTTTAGACAACAATTTCAAATTCAGGTCCCATGATGCTGGTCACTCCCATCATGACTCCTGTTACTCCGCTACAACCAGCTGCCGTAGCCTATCCAGGCTATACTTCTGACAGCAGCGTTCACTCAACACTCACTCGTGATAAAGAAACAGTGAAGAAACCGAGCCGCAACATCAAAATAAATTACAACAAAACAGACCCTCATATCAATACCCCAGAAATGTGTTATCCCGACGAAGTACATCGCGCTTCCTATAAAGATCCTGCTGCGGCTGTAAGGTCACCACCTAGCGAGCCTAGTTAAACATGTTGTCAGATGACCTAAATTAGTCTTTTGACTCATTAGTTATGCAATTATTCAAAAACATCTTCTAAAACACTTTAAAAATGTCCTTATTGTCGTTTCTTATAATAAAATTTTCAATGCTCAAAGTACTAGTGCAAACAGCAGTCCAGAAGCAAACTTCATCGAATTGAAGTTAATACTGAGTATGCTCATTTGTACGCGCACTGCTTTCTATACTTTATAGCTTTACTTAATGGCTGAATGACTGAGGCAAAATCAACTTCACGGGTATGACGACGTACATCCGCATTATCACATTACTTAACTTCGTTGATCTTTTGCCACAGTGCAATAGCAATATGGCAAAGGACCGACAAAGTTGACCAGTTTATTAGCAAGAATCTATCATATATGTGCTACGTGATGAATACAATACATCTCTACTGTTTGACTGCGATAAGCTGAGATTCTTTTTGTCTGAACCTATCGATTTCTATACGAGAAACTACAAACTCATACATTCGTTAGCATATCTACACCAATATATGAAAATTATGCACATTAAAGCTATAATTGAATGGAGTCAAAAAATCGCTCTCATCTTCGTTAAACTGTTCGTAGTTTAACAGAATATTCTATATAAGCTAAATCCGCACATTTTACATTTGCAACATCTTCTACTCCTCAATGATGCATGGCACACAACGTAAGGAATTTAATTCAAGATGGAATGGTAGTTTTTTACTGCACTGCTCCTAAGCGTATATTTGTTAGAAAATGTGACAAGATCTGCCAGCGTGAACGAAGCACATCATGACTGTTTCTTGTAAACATTACCGATACTGTGCTGCTTTATGCGTCACTCAAGGTAACCAAGGAATTAAACCTTTCTTGCCGAAACAATCTACGTCCAACAAAGCTGATTTAAATATTCCTTTCTGCAAAGGCTGAGAAGCGGATTAAGGGTTATGGCAGATGGAAATCATCACGTTAAGTATAATTATTTTTTCTTCACCTGGAGTTTATCCGGATGACATGAAAAATCTTACTATAGTTCCGTTTCCATCAGATCATCTGGTGAATCATACTTCTAATATAATTGTGTTTGGCTATGTACTGACAAGAAATGATTGGGAGAAAGAGAAGACAAAGCAAAATCTATAGTCTGTCGTTCTAAATTTTCATTAATCTACATTAATATGACTAAACAAGTATAGATTAGTGAAGAAATTCAAGTTATTTAATTCGCACTTAAACTTTTTATTTATAGGTGGGAAAGTTAATTTACTTTCAATGCGTATGTCAGGTAAATTATCCTCGACTCTTTACAATAGTTTTCGGAAGTGCTTTGTCTGCTTATAACTCGGCAAAACTTCTGCAACCTTTTTTCTACCAGTTTAAAAAATGTTCCAGAAAATAATATTAATTTCGCTGCCAGTTTTTAACTGAATGAATAGTATGATTAAAGAGGACAAAGTGTTGAAATCGATTTGTTTTGCTTCATGGTCCAATCTTATTCCGATCGAAAACGAGGTCAAGAGAGGTGGTAGCTGAGTAACAATGCGGTTCGTAATGGGAATATAGAAGAGAAAGAAGATCGTGAAGAAGGAACAGCTTATGTAAAGCCTCCAACAGTTCAGAATGGTGTAAGCTGTTAACACCAGAGTGAAAGCTACAATTTCAACTTATTAGTTTTCCATAATAACGGATACAGCGGTGAGTGAATCACACTATGTTCGGATCGCATTGAGTTATCAAAGTGAAATTCTATAACAGAACCGTTTAATGGGATTTGGCAGGATGTCTGACTTGCAGCTAATGTATTTGTAATCTGTCACATTGCCAATATGTTTACAGCACTCCTCGTATGGCCCAGAAGAGCGTGCTATTTCTAAATTGCACAATTTACTATCCTATAATAATTCTCCAGAACAAAACATATTAATTTTGGATAACGCGTATAATCCCGAACTACAATGTTACGGCGCAGCTACACCAACAGGAAAGTTTGATTTTCAAAGAATTTAACCGTACAATTGTCAAAGTTCAAATAAGTGAGTCACAAGTAGCTAGCCTTGTTTGAGAGGGCTTAAATAAGAGCAATTTTTTTCTGATCAAACACTGACATCCGTTATTATGTTACGCTGATCAAGCATACAGTAACTTTTTTACAGCCTTTTCGCGTTTCTTTATTGGGAAGCAACAGGAAACCTTCAATCCGATAAGAAAGATAGGTGAAAGGCGCAAAAGAGGAGGTTGTTGTCACAAGTAATGCTTGACCTTATTTGAAGTATAGCCAGAATGCAAATCTTCCTTACGAAAATGGTCTGCGACCCGCCTGCGCTGACCAGATCGCCTCGTATTTGCTTCACATGAGGAATGTCAATGAGAGAAAACAAACAACGTTGTTAAGTGCTCAAACATTTTGCCCTTCTAGCGTGTTCCCTGCTACCTGACCTTCGCTTCAAGGTTTCCAAATTGAAACTTAGAGGAGTTCTTTGTCTAAAAATTCTGCTGCGACTGAGAGTAATCTTTTCGGATGGATGGCCCATCATCCTACGCGCAGACGATACAATACGACAGATTACTATGCGATTCTTATTAGATCTCCGTCTCTCCTCTACTTTGGCGCACAACCTCATCCAAATTTATACATTTTCACCCACCTTTACTTATATATTGACGAGATCCTACTGTAAGAGTTTTCAATCAAAACTCATACAGGATCCCCTCGTCGGCAATGAGTACATAACTGTTATCCGCACAAATCATTTTTCCGCATAGGTAACTGCAATTGGACCGGCCTACCTGTCCAATGAAACTAGTCCTATGGTCGGCTCAGCTATCATCCATCATTACCCTGCTTCGTTGCTTGCTTCGCGCTTTCACGCAGTGCTTTACTTTCATTTTTGTAGTAAACGTTATTCTATAGGTAGAATTTGTTGCTGTGTACGTGAATTAATCATCTTATTTTGTTATTCTACTAGTATCTTGTATCATTAAAAACCTTTGCTAATAAGTCTCATGTCCTGTATGTTTTTCTAAAAGAGTAGTTCTTTTCTGGATATGGTAGTGTTTTCCAAGACATCTTTGATTATAATAAAGATATGAACGATTTATGCACTTACTTTCACATTTCAACATCTCGCGTATGTCTTGAGTGAGTTATTCTACCATCACCCAAATGTTTGATTACACAATAGAAACAAATAAAAATTTATATGACTCCCTTTCTCGACTGACAAAAGGTCCGTAAGTCTACACGGGTAATTGTCCCACAGATATTGAAATCGCTATCTCAAGCTCTCTTGCTGTACATGCCATTGTGTAAAGTAAATCTATCTGCTCCTGTGCTCCCTTGTAGTAAAATGATTTGATTGCTTTCAAATTTGGAATTTTTAAATGTCCAACGGTTGTTTTGATGTTTGGCTGTTTGAGGAGCTACTTCTAAAT